CCTGAAGGGTGTCCTGGATCAGGGTGGGGGTCCCCACTGGGGTGCCTGGCCAGCCTGGATGAGGGGATGATGGCTGTTTGCAGCTGGTCACACACCCTTCAGGGTGGGGGTCCCCACTGGGGTGCCTGGCCAGTCTGGGTGAGGGACTGAGGGCTGTTTTCAGGCTGGTGGGTGACTGAAGCTCCCAACTGCTCCTTTTTTTCTTTTTTTTTTTTTTTAATTCTGGGCCAAGGCCTCTGCTGCTGAAAGCAGGTATCTGGTTTGTTTCGGTTCTATAATCGAAACACTGTATCATCTCCAGCTCTGAGATCCCAGCCCGCTGAAAGCTGGTTTCTGGGGTTTTGTTTAGCTTCTATATTTGTTACAGTGTTTCAAACTGCCAGCTCAGAGGCCGGCAAGGCAGGCGGGGAACGTTGGAGTCCTCCTTCACTGAAGCAAGCAAGCCTCATGTTCGCTTCCAGCTGCCTGGCTGCCGGCTGCCATCTTGGCTGGCAGTTAATTTGTATATCGCCCTGATTAGCCAATGGGAAGGGTAGCGGTTGTACACTAATTACCATGTTTCTCTTTTATTAGATAGGATGACTTTTAACAAAACAATGTTATTTGAGGACCTGTTGTACATGGAAAAAGTTGCTGATTCTGATATCTCTTCCTAACTTCTTCCTGCTAGCTTTGACAGGAATTTTACCATCAGGTAAATAGGTTGCAAAGGTAATTTGCCTGGAGGGGAGATTCTTGTTATAATTCCAAATTTCCTAGGTCAGGTCAAACTGTAGTTACTACAACTTCCTTTTAATTAATGTTCAGTACCTCAACATTTATGCTACTGCTCTCTTGCAATAGGACTAGTATAATAATCATGACCTTTTAACTATATCAAAAGTTTGACAAATCAAATTTTTAGAGAAAATTGGGTGGCAACTGAAAATACAGCAGCAATTTTCCCCTAACCAGCATGCCAAGTTAACAAGTGCTCTCCATTTCTTTTGCCTACCATATTTTTGTACAGAAATTTTCAAATGTATAGACTTTGAAAGGATTTTACAGCGAACACTTGTAGACGCATAGACTCGACCATTAATACTTACTAGCACTACCATTTATCCATCCAACTATCAGCCCACCACAGTGCTTTGATGTAATTCACCATGCATGATTAACTAAGTAGACTGATTCAATTCTTTTTTATGTTTTGAGTTAAAACTTACATATCACACAATGGATAAGTCTTACAGTGTACCATTTGATGAGTTTTGACTGATGCATATACCTGAGCAATGGAAACCCATATCCAGGTATAGAACCACCACCCTATGAAGCTCCTTCAGGCCCCTTCCCACTTAATCTCAACTACCCAGAGGAAAGCATTTTCCTGAGATTTTTTTCTACCACACATGAGAAACCCATATAATCATATGTGTGCTTTGGGGTAAGGCTTCCTTCACTCAGCTGAATGCTCCTGGGATTCATACAGGTGGTACCAGTAGTTTGTCCTTCTTGATGCTGAATAGTATTTGGTTATATAAACATACCACAGTTGTTTTGTTTATTCTGTTGATGGACACCTGGGCTGTTTCCAGCTTTTGACTATTATGAAGGAAATGATTATGAGCATCTTATATGCTTTTTTTTAATGAAGGCATGTTTTTATTTTTTATTTTTTTATATATTTTATTGATTTTTCACAGAGAGGAAGGAAGAGGGACAGAGAGCCAGAAACATCGATGAGAGAGAAACATCGATCAGCTGCCTCCCGCACACCCCCCACTGGGGATGTGCCCGCAACCAAGGCACATGCCCCTGACCGGAATCGAACCTGGGACCCTCCAGTCCGCAGGCCGACGCTCCATCCACCGAGCCAAACCGGCCAGGGCTGAAGGCATGTTTTTAGTTCTCTTGGTTAAATACCTAGGATTAGAATAGCTGGGTCATAGAGAATGTATATGTTTAGTTTTCAAAGAAACTGCAAGAGTTTTTCCCAAAGTAGTTGTAAGATTTATACTCCCAACAATGTGTGAGAGCTCCAATTGATGATGCTGATCATCCTTTCACGTGCTCATTGGCCATACTGACTCCTCTGTAAATTGAATTATGTATATGCTAGAACTTTGGACGTTGCCCAAGGGATTCCTAGAACTCTGTTAATTTTCTCCCAAGTATTCTTTTCTCTGTTTTTCATATGGAATAATTTGTGTTAATCTACAAATTCACTTTTTCTTTTGTCCTTTCTATTCTGCAATTATTCTGAACTAGTAGATTGCAAAAAAAAAAAATCACATTTATGTATTCCATTCTAGAATTTCCATTTAGCTTCTTTTAAGGTTTCTCTTTTTCTGCGGAGATTTCCTATCTTTTCATTCATTTGAGCACAGTCTCCTTTATATCACTGAACATAACTGCTTTAAAATCTTTGTCTTTGTATTCCAACAACTGGATCATCTATTAATTGATTGTCTTTTCTATTGAAAATGGGTCATGCTTTCCTGTTTTGTTCTGTCTGTATGTTCCAATGAAATTTGGATTGTATCCTAGAAATTGTGCATGTTGTGTTGTAGAGACTTTGGATTCTGCAATATGCCTCTGACGAGTGTTGATCTGTTTTGCTTGTTTTAGTAAGCAATTTACTTATTTGGAGGGAAACTGAAAACTCTTGGCTCTTGCACAGCATTTTAACTCTTACTTCAGTCATTTTGGCCTTAATTGGGCTGGCTGTAGTGGAGTCGGCCATGCATACATAGTTTAGGGGTCAACTAGAGACTTAAGCAGTGTAAACACACAATTTGTAGCTCTTGCTTTCTGCTTTCTGGGTTACATTCCTCACTTGCCTGTAGTTGTGGTTTCCCTAATTCTTCAAGCCTAAATGACACCCAAGTGTCATTTCTCCTAGAATCACTCACTAATGGTCATTTCTTCACTGTCTTCATGTTTTTCTTTTTCTTTTGGAATTTAAAATTTTTTATATATTATTGAAGATTATAGTTGTTATCTGTAGAGGCTTGGCCTGCTAAGAGCTTCTTCAGCCATTACTGGAAGAAAATTGCCAGGACTTACTAAAAACACACAATGTTTCAGGTCAATGAAAGCTCCCATGCAGGATATCACTCTCCCATATGCCTTCACACCTTGGCTCCTACCAATTTGGTTATATGCATACCAAGAATCATCTGGTTTATGTAAGTTATATTTGTTATTGTAACTGTGTAACTTAAATAGCTACAACATAAACCAATGGAATATAAGTGCAAAGAGACAGTTATTTGTCGTTTCTATGCAAACTACATTGAATAGTTTAGAAAGACTTGTTAAAAGTTGTTAAAAATTTGTTGTGAAATTAAATGTAGTGAAACAACTATAAAATAAAAAGAAAAATATCACAGAACTTTAGAGGGAATCTGCATTCAGATAATTTTATATGGTAAGTAAGGTCTTGCCCTGCTCTAAGGACACAGGAACTCTGGAACTTGTAGACAAGGCAGGATGGGTAGGGCTTATGCAAGAGAGATGGTGTGCACCTCAAATCAGCAGATCCATCAAAACACACACACACACACACACACACACACACACACACATCAACCAAATAAACTCCTGTCTATCATAAGATTGATGACTAAAAACACATGTGCATGTTTAAATGGAATATAGTCTGACATGGACTGGAATGGTTTTGATACCTGTAATGCTCCATTTTTGCTGAAGGATGACACACACTGCATTAGTCTACTGAGCTCTTCAGACACTGCTTCCACCACCCTGGACAGGACCCGAGGCACCAATTCTTTGGAAATAGTGAACACCTGAAAGGTTTAAAATAAGGAGAAATGGTGCATTATGGTGACTTATCCTGACTTGAATTTGTTTAAAACAAAGGAATGCACAAAATATTTTGGGGAAAAAAACCACCATATTAGCCCCCTTTTCCTTTTTTCCAGTTACCTATACCTCTTAGGAACATCTAATGATAGCTTACCTCTGCATGCACTGCAATTATATTCACCAATGCTTCTTTTAAATAGTTTCTGACACCTGAAATCAAGATGGGAGAGGGAAAAGGCATTTAATGGAGACACAAGCTGCCTGTCCCCCTGCTGGCTGTGCACAGTAGTTTCCTAAGGAGAAACAGAAAGTAACACCACCATTGTCTATTTCCTTTTGAGAACCAAATGGTGAAAGGACTATTTTTGTGCAGGCTTAAAAAAAAGTTTAAATTACTTAAGAGTTTCCTTTCATTATTTTTCCATTCTGTCATTGTTTATGTTCTCTATAAATGTTGGTCAGTCTCCTTCAAAATTGAAACTTTAAAATGTCCTTTGGTTTCTTCATGTATGTATTCTTCACATATATGCATATGCCCACTCAAGTTAACAAACATAAAATAGTCAATAGTAAGATATTTACCAAAACTTATAAAACATCTGCTTTATGTATTTTATAACATCATACTTCCAAAGGTAAAAGTCAAATTATTATGCAGAATAACTATTTTGATCTTTAAAAGATCACTTCTGGGAGAAACTTCTGACAAAACCACACTCAGTCTGATCCTATAAGGCAAGATAAAAACTGGACAAAATACAAGATTTCAGATGACACAGAATTAGTGAACGCACTTCACTCCAAAGCAGGCACACACAAAACAACCATGTAAGAGTCTGCAGTCAGATGATCTTGGATCAAACCCCAATTTCATAAGCTACATGCTATAATTTCTGCAAGAAGACTGTGAGCCCAGTTTTCTCTTCTACAATGAGTATAAAAACAGTGCCAATCTCGTAGGTTTATAGTGAGGATTACGAAGATAATAATGCATGTGATGGGTCCTGGTTGTCACAGGGTTCAAACACAGCTTTTATTATAATGAAAGCAGTTAAATTTGCAAGAAAAAACCCCCATAAAAACAAAATACTGCTTTATTATAATTCCAAAACAATCACTTTCACTGGACTGGAATATTTCAGAATGCCTTCTAAGTTAATTGCATGTCCTGAGAATTCCTTCTCTGCAGAACAGGGAAAACCCTACTAGTGTTAACAGTAACAGTGTTAAGAAGAATCTTTCCCCAAATGTCATTTAAGCTATTGCTTATTTAGGAAAGTTGAGACAAAGGCTAAGAACTACAATCAACTTTTTGAATTGACATCTGCTGATTCTAAATATATAACCAGTTTTTTATTTTTGTCATATATGATGGTGTTTAAATAGGCATACAAAATTTCTTTGGTGGAGCCAATTTCATATATATTTCTTTGGGATATGACGGTTCAGTTGTTAATAATTATATTTTGCTGATAAAAAACAAATAGCTAATTGAAAGTAATTAAATATAACCCAGAAATTAGTTGATTCTTCCTAGGGGAAAAAAGAAGATAATTACAAGGTAACAAGTCTATTATAAGTGAAAGTGAAATAAACTGACTGTGCTCAAGACCAGAAAAGCTTTCTTCCTGTAAGAGGAAAGCCACACCACAGAGACGCTCCTTGGGCAGTTCACTGCTAGAGTCAGGGCACCAGTTTTGACCTGGCTGTGACATCTGTCCTGGGTGATCATGCTCACCAGGTCAATATGCCTCATCTCATTCTCTGCTCTCGGGCAGTTCTCCCAATGTGATGGAGGGAGGCAGGGAAGGGCACTTCAGATCAAAGTCCATAATCACTGAACTCAGGTCTAGAATCTTACATTGCAAACCTGTGGAAGTCTAGCTCATAAATGCATACACATATAAATGTACATAGTTATTAAAGATACTAGAGGCCCGGTGCACAAAAACTTGTGCACTGGCGGGGGCGGGGGGTGTCCCTCAGCCCCACTTGTGCCCTCTCACAGTCCGGGACCCCTCGGGAGATAACGACCTGCTGGCTTAGGCCTGCTCTCGGGTGGCAGAGGGCAGGCCCAATCCCTAGGTGCAGCCCCTGGTCGGGCTCAAGCAGGGCCGATTGGGGAGTTGGGGCGCCGCCCCCTGTCATGCACAGAGCAGGGCGGATCAGGAGGTTGTGATGCCACCCCCAGTCACGCTCAGGGTAGGGCTGATTGGGGGGTTGGGGCACCGCCCCCTGTCACACTCAAGGCAGGGTCGACGGGGAGGTTGCGGCGCCACCCCGTCACGCACAGAGCAGGGCCGATCAGGGGGTTGGGGCGATGCCCCCTGTCACCCACAGAGCAGAGCCGATCAGGGGGTTGGGGAGCTCCCCCCTAACAGGCACAGAGCAGGGCCGATCAGGGGTTTGGGGCGCCTTCCCCTGTCAGGAACAGAGCAGGGCGGATAGGGAGGTTGTGGCCCCGCCCCCAGTCACACAAAAACCCCGGCCTTAAAGGTTTTGGCATTCCCCAAGGCCAAAGACCCTCGATCTCCTATCCCCGTACCCGAAACCTCGCGGTCCCCGACACCCGGCGTGGGGCTCCCCTCCGCTGATCCCGGTTCAGGAAGCTCGCGGCTCCGCTGATCCTGGGTTCGGGAGGCCTCGTGGTTCTGCTGATCCCGGTGTTGGGAGCCATATTACCCTTTTACTATATAGGATAGAGGCCTGGTGCACGGGTGGGGGCCGGCTGGTTTGCCATGAAGGGTGTCCCGGATCAGGAAGGGGGTCCCGCTTGGGTGCCTGGCTAACCTGGATGAGGGTATGATGGCTGTTTGCCGCTGGTCACACCCCCTTCACGGTAGGGGTCCCCACTGTGGTGCCTGGCCAGTCTGGGTGAGGGGCTGAGGGCCGTTTTCAGGCTGGCGGGTGACTGAAGCTCCCAACCTCTCCTTTTTTCTTTTTCTTTTTTTATTCTGGGATTTATTTACCTTCTATATCTGTCACTGGAGCTAAGAGCCGGCTTTAGCTCTGAGGCCAGCTCCAGCTTGAGGCCTCGGCTGCTGAAAGCAGGGATCTGGGTTTGTTTGGGTTCTATAATTGTAACACTGTTTCGGTCCTGTTCGCTCCAGCTCTGACGGCTGAAAGCAGGTTTCTGGAGTTTTGTTTAGCTTCTATATTTGCAACAATGTTTCTTAGAGAGCAAGCTCAGAGGCTGGCAAGGCAGGCAGGGAACCTTGGCTTCCTCCGTCACTGGAGCAAGCAAGCCTCCCTGTTCACTTCAGCTGCCTGGCTGCCGGCCGCAATCTTGGTTGGCAGTTAATTTGCATATCGCCCTGATCAGCCAATGGGAAGGGTAGCGAAGTTACGGTTAATTACCATGTTTCTCTTTTATTAGATAGGATAAGTGCAATATTAGGCCAGTGATGATTTAAGCAACTTAAGAGTAAGGGATTCAACAGTCTCTGTCCTCATGAAAACCAGGGTCCTGTCAATGCTACTATATGAACAAATGTCAGGAGTCTGGGTTCTAGCAATCTACACTAATAAAAGAGAAACATGGTAATTAGCGTACAACCGCTACCCTTCCCATTGCCTAATCAGCATATCCTTATGCAAATTAACTGTCAGCCAAGATGGCAGCCGGCAGCCAGGCAGCTGGAAGCGAACATGAGGCTTGCTTGCTTCAGTGAAGGAGGACTCCAACGTTCCCTGCCTGACTTGCCGGCCTCTGAGCTGGCAGTTTGAAACATTCTAACAAATATAGAAGCTAAACAAAACCCCAGAAACCAGCTTTCAGCTGGCCAGGATCTCAGAGCTGGAGTTATACATTGTTTCGATTATAGAACCGAAACAAACCAGATACCTGTTTTAGCAGCGGAAGCCTCAGAGCTAGAGCCAGAGCTAAAGCTGGCCCAGAATAAAAAAAAGAAAAAGAAAAAAAGGAGCGGTTGGGAGCTTCAGTCAACAACC